CCATCTCAGATTATGACTACTTAGTTAATTTAGTTTGCCTGCATAAAAAGGAGTTTTGGGGCAGGGAGAGTGGTAAAGAATCATAAAAGAAAATATTGAATTTATTAAACCAGAGATAGTTATTAGCCACATGTACCTAGGCAGCCTTCAGGATAGGCCATAGAAACACAATGTTGGAATATATATTATTTGTGTTCACTTGCTAGTGAACAATTGAAATATAAATGAACCCCAATGTTATCAAATGTATACATTTTGACAAGTATATAAATTACAGAATCCTGTCTCTGACTTGTAACAGTGACTTGGGGCAAACTCACCATATTGAAATTTTAGAATTAATAGAAACTAACAAAATACAAACATTTCCCAGGCATTTGTGTACCCAATTTGGGGTTATGACTATAATAAACTTGAATTTCTAAAGGTTAGAAAGACAGTATTTATACTAAACTTATTCCTATAATAGTAGTACTAGCTTTGGAATACTTCCTATGCTATAATGGTAGGTTACTGACTGCTTCATGTGCCAGGGACTGAGTATTAATCCCTATACTTTCCCTGCAAGTAGCAGCTGCAATTTGGTACATACATTGATTCATGTAAAAAGGTTGAATGTGGTAAGAAAAATATTTTAACTCTTTTTTTTTTTTTTTAAGATTTATTTGTACAAGACCGGGACACCAGCCACGGGAGGGTGAGAAGGTTCACCAGAGACAGAGCGGGGAACACAACAGGCAGATTGACTGAACTACGACTGCTGAGGGAGCAGCGGGCAAGACAGGAGAGATCTGTTGTGCCATGTGGGACCTTCGCAGGCCAGCCGGGATAGAATCCACGCTGCAGAGGCTGCGGACAGCTCATAGCACTGCATTCAACTGCCTACAACACCAGGGAGGCCCTGAAATATTTTTAACTCTTATCCTAATTGTTCTTCCAGTACTAGCTATCTTTCCATTATATTAAATTGCCTATTTTTTCATTAAATAATAATAAATAGTAATGTTCTACTAGAGAA